CTCGCCATCTATTTTCATTGTTCAACTGTTTGACAACATGAGAAACCCAAAGGCCCCCCGCCCCCCCCCCCCCCCCCCCTGTTTATTTCTTCTCACGAGTGTGAACCATCTTGATGTTGACTTCAGGTTCAAGGATATGCTTGCTATTGGATGCTTTTACCTTTCTCTCTCTCTCTCTCTCTCTCTCTCTCGTAATTACTTATCATCATTTTGATTTGTTGCTTTTCTATTGTAATTTTGATTAGGCTATAGATGGGAAAGAGAAGCTAACCAACCAAACTTAAATATCTTTTAAGATCAATGTTTCTTTTGGGGCTTTGTATGTTTATTCTATTTGATATACAACAAATATAAATTATGTGTTCTTAATTCCTTTTAACTTGCCCACATGATTCTTCTCTATCTCTTGAATAACTCTTCCATCTTCTCTCGTTCCTTTCTTCTTTTGAAAATTTTCCCCAATGTTACTTTTCGTCAATGGATTCTAGAGCTCACTTGATCGTAAGAATCATTATTATCAATTCAAATAAGATAATGATTAATGCTGTGACAAAGATCAAATTTTAAGGAATCTATGAAATTCTCAATGGTAGATTGATTTGTGCTTTTGATTTTCCCTTTTAAATCTGTTGACCGCTATAATGCATTCTGCTCTACTTAAGTCTTTCTATAACTCATAATTAATCTTTCCTAACTCCAACGCCCAAGCTAAAACTATGCATGATTACTCCATGTAGCAACTTAATCCCACAAACCCACATGTTATAATTTTTTTGATTATCCTAACTCCACTCCTTTCTCTTATTTGCCTCATATCTCTCTCTCACACACACACTATTCCTCTATAACATAACAACAAGCTTTTCCCTCCTTTTTCTCACCTATTTTCACATTTTCCATAACTTGATTACTCAACTCCCCACACCTAGCACATTCGTCCTTGCTGTTTAGTGTAGAAAACCCAAGGTCCACTCAACTCCTCATAAGCATTTTATAGTGACATATTATGTGTAAAGCTTGCCTTTACATTCTTTCCACACTCATAATTCAAGGCTCCATTCTTCACCTAACTTCTTTATGTTATTAAGTTCTTTAAAATCTTCCTTTTATTTCTACTTAATTTGAATCTATAATTAATTCAGATAATCTTTATCCATATTTATTAAAAATTCAATTTTAGAACTAAACTCAAACAAGTTTCATCCGTACTAATCCCTATCCTAATCCAAATGCTTTCCAACCATGCATGCTCGCCAATTTTTGAAGCAAATATACTTCACTTTGATCCTCATAGGAAACCATATTATCTTCATTAAACACGATCATGTATTCTATAAATTCCACTCGAACCTACCCAATCAAACCTATTAAATAAACCTCAGTCTTAATGAAACTCATTTCAGTTCAACTAATGTGAAAACCATCCTAACACTAACCATTCATACCTATACTTCTAATCTATTCATAAGAATTGATAAAGTAAAAAACAACAAGAAAAAATAATGGTGTATGGATTTACATTTACTTGGTAGCTCTACTTCATCATAAAATTGGTTGAGGTTTATACATTTTGATTCAAGAATTTTGGAATAAAGATTACTTTTTTGTAGTTCAAGAGGATCCATAATTAAATGCTTCGATGTATTATCTGCAAATAGTAGCATTTATCTCCTTTGTCCCTCTTTATTCGGGAAAGTGGTCCTTTTAGGAAACACTTGTTTTTTTTTTTGTTTTGTTTGTAGAAGCACTAACCAAGAGTGAATATGAAGGACTACAAATTAATAACTTAAGATAAGAGACTCCAGAGAAAAACACCAAAATTTATGGGGTTTAGCTAAAACTATCCTATATCTATAGCCATATGAAGTGATGGAGTTTCACCATATTAAAGAAAATACAAAATACTGCTCAGAATATTTTCTTTCTTATTTTTCATTAATTCCCTTTTCCATCTCTTTAATATTCTTCGTTTTTCCTTATGTTTTATTCCTACAAAATCAAAAAGCTCAAATACTCATATGATATAAGAGATTCACTATCCTCCTAGTCATTCATTGTAAACTCGAAAACCACTCTTCTAATTGTAATATTTTTACCTTTTGAACACTAGTCTATGGTAAGGTATTAGTATTTAGCACCCATCACCGTTGTTGTGGTTCTCATTAATGTTGGCCTTTGACTTTCAAGGATCGCAAGGCATCCCTCATTCCAAGTTTCTTTCAAGACCAACTAGCCTTGACCACATCAGTTAGCTCGAGGAATATTTATACCACCTCGACGCTGCCTTAAACGATCCCAACTATCATTGTTCAACCACTTGAAGATGTCCATCAAAGAGGTCCAAAATTCATAGAAATTCCTTTGGGTTTCTTGTTCTAGACTGTTATATAGGAGAGATTAACAAAATTCTTATTTTTATGATGAGATTAAGAGCTAGATTTTACCTAAGAACTTTGACCAAGTAAATTACTTTTCATATCATTTTGCACTTTAAAAACTTGCAAAAAATCCTTAAATTTAGGAGTGGGTAAATTTAAGCTTTATGACTTGTCTTCCTCGGAGATTAGATTTTTATGTTCTGTCATGAGTAGTTCAACTCTATGCAATACTTTGAAGAGTCATTATGTCCATAAAGTCCGAAAGGGTTAAACAATGCATACCTGAAATGCAAGTGATGCTTGAACATAGCACCTCTATGAGGCATTCTAAGCACATATGTTGCGTACTGTAATGGATGCATCAAGTTTGATAGCGCACCTGCTGCTAAATTTTTGTACCCTGAAAGCTGTTTCCTCATTCTGAACATTGTAATGCTATGGCCTAGTACTTGCACATATTGTGCTATATAAGATTATTTGCATGGTTCAATAAAAACTCCCTTAAGTGGTGCTTTATTTTATTTTTGAATCTCTTTACAACCAATAAATTAACCTTTTCTTCTTTCCAAAATCATAGTACTCAAAGACAAATAATGAAATTGAAGCAAAACCGATTGAAGTTGCACCCTGCAGCATATTTGGTCCCAACAAACCTTTTGAAAATATTAAGGAACCCCGCATATCCAATGAGTGTGTCACTGCATCATTGAGAACACTTAAAGATATCGAAATTTTTTGAAGATCTGATACATGCTAGGTTCAATCCAATATTCCAATCTTATTATTATACATCTTCTATTTCACAATGCCTAAATCAATCATCCTACAAACTGAATCGTTTGTAAACTTAGCCTTCATAATATGACTCATAAGTGAAAAAATATTGTTTATTAAGACATGATATGCTCAAGTTGAATCTAGAATCCATTTTTATTGCATCTGCTTCAACCAGTTATAAAATGGGTATCAATTTTATTAGAACTTGACAATTCACAACAACACTAGCATTTGCTTACTTTTCTCTCTTGTCGTTGACATTAGCATGCTACTTCTTTTTCTTTAAGGCATTATAATGTTTCTTATGCGCCCTTCCCTTTTTGCAATCGAAGCATGCCATATCCTTGCATATATCATTTGATTTATTTTTAATTATGATTAGAAATACATCAATTCTCAAAAGATCTCCCCTTAATTACTGGCCTGACTGTATATTTAATAATTGAATACTTGACATTCTTCAAGTTAGTTGTATGTCATACATATGACATAATATCATTTAAATGTTTGTAAGGGGAAGGCAAATAACACAGAAACAATAAAGCTTTGTTCGAATCATTAACTATCAAATCAATATTTCCCAATTATTGAATAATGTAATTAAACTCATTCAATCATGATTTATTCAATATATTATTGTGTGTGGAACAAAAATTATCTTTGCTTTTGATAAAGTTTATTGGAGAGTCTTCTGTCATATATAAATAATCTGGCTTGAGCCACAATCTCTTTACAATTATTTCCTCTAAGCCCTCATCTCTCAAAAATAGTTGAAGCAGTTTTTTTTTTTTGGGTTTTGGTGGCATATTGGCAGACCCAATTAGTACCTTCACATGTTCCTTTTTGAATGAAACACCACACATCATGTTTCCTTTAATCCCAAAACTTTTTAAGCTATCAAATTTTTAATCTGAAATTTTGTGGACATCTTATTCATTATTGCTTTAATATTAGTTTTAGGAAAAGTACATAACTTTCATGAAGAAACACCAGTCAAAAGTGACTATGACGACCTACAAATTAAGAGCATAAAAGATCTATTAACATAAAAGAGCATTAAGATCTCTGTGATTCTATTAAAATTGGCTTATGTTTGTGAAAACAAGAGTCTTAGTTCTTCACTATATTTTAGAAATTTCAAAATAATACAACTTTTTTCTCTAATTCCTTTTTTTCATTTTTGTTTTTTTATTCATTAAGTTTATATGTATGCATGTATGTATATATATGTATGTATGGATCTATATTTGTATCTATGTATCTATTTATGTGTGTGTGTGTGGGTGGATGGGTGGGTTTTCTTACCTATCTTGATGGTTGCTTTAGGAGGTCAAAAGGAAAGGAAGGAGAGAGAGGAGTGCTATTCGGCCAAGGGTAAAGAAAGGAGGGGTAGAGGAATGTGGTTAAACTAAAGGAAAAAAAAAGGGTGGATGTGAGGTTCTGCTTGCAAATACATTAATGCATAGTAATCCACATAAAAAATAAAGAGAAGCTTACACCTTACTTGAGTGAAGTAGAAGCCCTTGATTCCATTACTTGAGTGAAGTGGAAGCTCTTAATTTCCTTGGTGAAGAGAGGGGAAGAATAGTGAAAAGATAAGTTGACAAATTTATTATGTTTAGGGCCATATATTAGATAACAAATTCGGCCGCTTTGTTTCTAATCGATCTTGAACTTGAATCTACAGTAAAGTTCATAAATTTAGGGATGAGGAATTTTATATCATATGCTTCAACAATACATTCATCCATTCTTCATCTTAATTTGATCCCTTCAACTCTTTTCTTAGGATGTGTTTCAAATGTGACAGATTTCACTACTTTAGCACTATAATGGAATACCTTCCATTTCCTCCAACATTGTTCGAACACTTCGGAGTAGAGTTATCTACAATGGAAGATCTTCCATTTCACCGGACTGCTGTATTTTATAATTAGTTTCCCTTTAGCCTTGAAGTTGTGGAAGGAAATGTTCATATTTAAACTTTGATCCAACTAGGAATTCAATCTTCTTGTTGTAGACATTTTTTAATTGACTTAATATTTCGAATTATGATATATATATATATATATATATATATATATATATGTCTTACATGATAAAAAAATCCAAACCGGTTAAAGGATTGAGCAGCTCAACCATCAGTTTTTCCTAGTTAATACTGATTTCTTGCAAAATCGTTTATATTTGGATCGGTTTGGTGACTAGTTCACTGTCTGATTGGTTCAACCACTTGGTTTGATATGGTTTTCACAACCATGGGTAAAAATTACGAAGTATCATTTCATCTTTTTTGTATACAATGCAAAAAAGTGTATTTTTTTTTTCTTATTTATTCTCTTACGTATGAAATGGTTGTAAGGTTTTTCTTTCTGCTGCAATTTACCCTTAAGATAACATAAGTTTGATTATTTCCTGACATGTATACTGTACATGTGTATCTGCGCTACCATGGCGTGGACTTGCATAGTGTACTGTGGCATTCTAATGAAGCAAAATTCCTGATTTGTTTTTTTTGTTTGCAGACTGCACCTTGGAATTTAAATTTCATTCCAGTAAAGAAGATGGTAGTTATTACATCTCACCTTCTTAGTCATGCACATCGGTATATTTTGCGTTGCCTGGCCTCCCACCAGACAGTTCTTCATTGTACTATATTTACGTCCATCTCAGAGGTGCTTGTTTATCCAGCATTTATTAACAACTATTTTAATTTGTTAGTGATCAATGTTCTTCATCATCATAAGCGGTTGTCTTAGTGGGTATTGCAACAGTTTTGTGCTTGAGCTAGGTGGGAAGCATTTCCTTAAGTTTGCTCTAATGACTGGAGTCTTCATTCTGCTTCTCGCTCTTGAAAGATCAATCCAAATGAATGGTCTGCATTAAGTATGATAACTAGAAATTGTCCATATGTAGAAGCAATTTGCCATGTAACACTTAGATTTTGTCTATTTATAAAATAAATAACCAACTTCTATTCACAATAATACCGCTCAAATCTTAGAGAGCACAATAAAACTACGAACTTTATTATTTATGCTTTTAATAAATTTTTATTGTTTTGATTGTGACACACGGAAATACATGATTTTATTCTCTCTCTCTCTCTCTCTCTCTCTCTCTCTCTCTCTCTCACTCTCGCTTGAAATTTTACATATAAATAAGAAAGATTTTGATTGTATGTATGTAATTTTCTCCAATAACTAAATGAGCGACTAGACTTAGGCTTAATTGAGAGGAAAATTTATCCTGCCTTAGTTTTCTTCAATTGATTCTTTGGCAGTTTTTATATGGCGGGTGATATATTTTTTTGAAATAGAATCAAGAAAACTAGATAAAAAACTAAGTTCTTTAATTGTCCTGCTTGATGAGTGATACCTGAATGGGTATGCATGCAAAATTTAACAAGAAGATAGAAAAAAATGCAAATAACAGAAATTCAGGAACAAGAAAAGCAAGAAACAGAATACTAAACAAATAAATATACAACATACAAGGGTTTCCTATCCTCCTAACCGAGTGGGATATAGAAATCACCATCCGAAATATCAACAAAGGAAGGAAATCCGGGATGTCACTGACTACAATAAAGGGGTACAATCTCTATTACCTCTAAACCTCGTCCCTATTTGGGAACCAACAAGGGAGCCAAATCTCTCACAACGCTCAAATGAACCCAAAAAACCTAATACATCACAAGACCACTTATTTATAAACACTAAGGACTCCCTTATTACAAGTGGGCCATCCAAACAGAAAACTAAAACATAAAAATTGAACTTTAACATAATATGGGCAGCACTATTTATTAGATCACATAACTTGGATCTCGATTTGACACTCCTTGTCATTCTGCTGAGGTGGGAGGAGCTTCTATTTCATCACATGAAAAACTTCCATCAATAGCATCGATATGATTCAACACATCTGCTTGTAGGTCAAGCTGATCCCTTTGGTCCATCGCCACTTGGAGCAAATCCAATTGCATGGAAGCCTTTCCTCCTGTTATTAGATTATTCAAAATTGAATCAACCAAAGATTTCTGCTATATTCTTCTCTTAGGATGCCTCTTTTTAAAATGGGGATCTGGACACCCGGGATATGAGACACCAATCTTTCAACAGGTATTGCATTATTGCGAGATAGGAAATCGCTATCCAAGGAAAACTGAATAAGTGACCTCCGAGCATCATGAAAACTGTCTCCAAGAAAATGGAAGCGATCTCACTTGTTTCTGAAAGAGTACTTTCACCCAGAACTGACAGCATTGGACCAGTGATTCGTCTACTAGGTCTTTCAATCTGTTAACAAATAGCAGAGTTATCTTTCAAACCTTGTGCTGAATTTCCAGTCCCAAATTGTTTCTTGAATCAGAAAATCTTTTAGCAAGCCAAACCAAGAATCTGCCACTACCTAGAGTGATACTGGTGAAGGGTAGGTTTCACTGTTTACACAGGATCACCAGCTGGAATTCCGGAAAACTGAGGAAATGCAGAAAAAGAAAGGTCTAAGGATACAAGAATTAGGATCAAGAAGCCAAAGCTTTGATATGAAATAATACTGGAGAATGAGGTTTGGAGAAGATTCAACAAGAACAATCAAGAAAGTAGTGAATAGATACACTAATCAAATAAAAATACAAGATACAAGAGTTTCCTATTTTCGCAACCAATCGGGATACATAAATCACCACTTGAAGGATTGACGAAAGGAGACCCGAGATGTTAGCACCAACAACGGAGGGCTATGTTTCCCACCACACACCGCCGTGGCCGGCCGGGAACCACAAAGGAGAGCCAAATCCCCCACAACATTCATATCCAGATTTCTATTCCCAGATTCTGCTTCAAATTCCAGATTTTCTGGGGTTCCAGTTTTTCTGTTTGCTGCAGTTGGGGAGAATTTCACTCCAGATTGTCCCCGTGTTGATTTTCTTGCTGTTTTCCTTGTTTCAAATTGTGGTATTCTTCTCCCTGCATTGTTACTTTTCCCTTCTTGCTGCCCTTCAGAGAAAGAAAACTTTTTTGCTGCATTTTCAACAATTTCTTTATCATTTCTCATGTGTCAGTTTAGGAAAACATTTTCAACAATTTCTTGCCGCCCTTCAGGAAAATAGGAAAACATTGCCCTAGATCTTTATCATTTCGCATGTGACTGTTGGCATTTTCAACATTTTATTGTGGAAGAAATCAATAACTTTTTTGTTGCAGCCTCTTCATCCAGCCAATGCTTGGAGTGAATAACTAGCACACTAGGATTTATCATGAAGGCTATGTGATACCATTGTTTCTTGGAGACTGAGAAATCTATAACTCAGGTTACTTTGAAAACAGTTTTGTGAAAAAAAAAAAAAATTTAGTTCTTGCAACCTCTTTATCATCCAAGATGACTTCCTGCTGCCTGTTCAGAATTAAGGTCTCCAGAACCTGAAATTGATCTGGTTTATGTTCATGTCCTAGAAAGCTACTAAGTTTTGACAATAGTGGTGGAATATGTGATATAAAGAACAACAAGAAACGATTGAAAGAGGATCCCACTCATCGTATACGGATAGAGAAATCATGAGGGTCGTTAGTGACTGTTTCTTGCAAGAGAAGTATTGCATATGGGATCACTTGGAAGAGAACAAATTAATGGAGATGAAAACCACAATTCGAAACAAGGAAAACAACAAGAACATCAACACTGGGGACAATCTGGTGTGGTATTCTTGCCAACTGCAGCAAATAGAAAAGATGGAACCCCAAGAAATTTGGAATTTGCGAACAAAAATATGGAATTGCTGGACAGAAAACAAAAGAAAGGCTAGGCAAACTTGGCTAATCAATCTCGGGAAGAATTGGGATCAAGAATACCACCCGTCTTTGATACTAAAATGAGACCGAAAAGGGTATGTGTGCAGAATTCAACAAGAAGATAGAGAAAAAATGCAAAGAACATAAATTTAGAAACAGAAAAGCAAAGAAATGAAATCATAAACAAAAAAAGATACAAGAGTTTCCTACTTGTAACCAATCACGATATAAAAATCACCGCCTGAAGGATTGACGAAGAAAGTGAACCCGGGATGTCGCCACCAAAGGCGGAGGGGTACAATATCCACCTTCCAACACTGTGGCTGGAGACTCGTCCCCATCTGGGAACCAAGGGAGCCAAATCCTTCACAAAACTCTAATGAATCCCAAAGATCTAATACAATACAAGACCACATATTTATAAACAATAAGGGCCCCCTTACTACAAGCATCCAAATAGAAAATACATAAAAACAGAAAACTAAAATATAAAAACTGAACTTTAACATAATATGGACAACACTATTTACTAAATCACATAATTAGAATCACGGCTAGACACTCCATGTCAAAGAGGTGGGAGCATGTTTCATGAAATTTTCCTCTAAAGGGAGGATAGATAAGATTTGCAAATATAAATATACAAAGCAGGTGCCAGTGGTCAAAATCTATGTTCGATGCACAGCAACCATGAAATTGGTAAAAGTGATAAATACCGTAGCTAAAAACTCAATCCTGAGGTAACTTTTGTAGTTTTGTATCTTTTGTGAAAATTTATATGCACAGCTTGTGCGTAAGATTTTTTTTGGTCACCAATCTCTGGTAAACTATTTGACATGATCATGAACATTTACTTCCTGTACCATATAACTATGTAAGCTTTAGCAAAGTTCAAACTAACCTGAAACCTGTAAGCTGTAATCATGGTACCATTGCAATTATTGCATGAGAGGAGGCGCCATTTAAGAAATTATAACTTCCCGCCAATCAAATTTCTTTTTCTGGGTACTATTCTTAACCTTCTTTTACTGAATTCTAGATAGCCCACTCCGCCTATGCTGATTCACCCCTTGGCCCTGATGCATTTCATGAATATGAGTCTTTGCTTGTCCAAGACTATGATGAGATAATGATGGAAAGTAAGAAGAGTGAAAATCATTCAAATCTAAAGAATGAGACAGGACAGGCAGCAGAAGGAGATCATCTTGATATATTGTCTGCTAATGGTGATTGTTCCTCACAGCTGGCTTCTAGGGTGGATGATGATTTAAATGCGGAGTCTGTTTCTGTTGAAAGGGATTTATATAATGATTCCAAGTCTACAGAAGCCAACAGTTCAACAAAATTGCAGGTCATTGTACATCATTTCCCAATGTTACTGTGTGCAGTTTCACCAAGGTTCTTTGTTTTTCCTTCAGAAGGGGCAGTTGCAGAAGCATGCCTGTCAAATAACCATGAAAATTCGCTTAGCCCTGGCCTGCCTTCAATTTGCAATGGGGTTACTTCTGACGGTGAGGATGTTCCTCCAGGAGCAATTCTGACCGCCCATTTCCTATATAATCTGGTTGCAAAGGTTTTGCTTTACCATCGCATAGAACTGTGTTAATTTTTTGGTCACTCATGGCAACCTTCTATTGCTCTTTGTTTCTGATTTTTTTTTTTTTAAGAAATCTGTAGATGGATTTGAAGATGGAAGTATTTTCTCTTGGCGATACATCGAAAGTCATTGGAAAGATGTTGACAGACATGTCTGGTCTTTATGATGTTGGCCGTCGCAATCGCAGATCAGCTGGTTTATTGCTCATAGATCGCACTCTTGATCTTCTTACGCCTTGCTGCCATGGAGACTCATTTCTTGATAGGATGCTTTCTTCTTTATCTCGCAGGGATGGAGCTATATCGGCTATGAAAAGCTCCCATTCCTCCAACAGAAATCTTCCAGCTGAAGCACGGCGTGCTACACTTGATATAAGAATACCTTTTTCAAAGATTTTAAGCAATGAAGACTCTAATATGTCTATATCCAAGCTAGAAGAAAATGTTAAAGCTTTCATGTCAGGCTGGAACCCTGAAGATGTTAATTCTGAAGGTTCTTATCTATCTGATAATGCAGGCAAGCTTCAGAACAATAAGTTCGACAATGAATCATACTCACTGAGTGGATCCATTCTGTCCAATTATACAGGAGCAAATTACTTGGAAGACTTACTTGATAGAAGAACGAAAGATGGGATCCTTCTGATAAAAAAGTGGCTTATGGAAGCTTTGCAGCGTGAAAAAGTGCCTTTAAAAGGATTTTTGGCCTCTACTCCCCTTTCAGAGCTTCATGCCATGGTTAAAAAACTAGTTCCAGATCAAATTTCTCTTGTAAGGAACAGAGGGATCATCCGGTTGGCATTAGCTGCTGAAATAGCCTTGAGTGAGCCCCATCGTTCCAGGTGGGATGCATTTGTAAGTGCTGAGAGAATACTAAATGTTAATTCACTTGACAATAGCCAAAGCTTGTCAAGCCAGATTCGAGATCTTATTAATACTAGCAGTGTATTGAGATCTCATGAAGATCGTAACATGGGACCACAGGCAGCTCTTCTCTCTTTCCAAGACGCATTACTTCTGTCAATAGTGGGATATATTTTGGCAGGTGAAAACTTTCCAAAATCTGGTTCTGGCAGTCCTTTTTCATGGGAGGAAGAACATTTACTGAAGGAAGCTATTGTTCATGTAATTTTTCAAAATCCAGAATTGACAAAGTTGCAATTCCTTCATGGTCTGGAGAAGGACCTTGAAGCTAATGCTAGAAAAGAGGATTCTGCAAATGATGAAGATGATTTTGATGAACAATGGGGCAGCTGGGATGATGAAGAAACTGATCATCAGAATGACCAAGCATATGGAGATATGCAGCTTAAATTGGAGCTGCGAGATAGGGTGGATCTACTTTTCAAACTATTTCACAAGTTATCGGAATTGAAGTCGAGAACCCCGTCTTTCATGGAAGGTCCATTGGCATCCTCCGCTAGTTATGGAAACGATCCTTGCGACAGGAAAGGATTAATTTATAAGCTTCTAACTGCTGTAATGGCCAAGTATGATATACCTGGGTTAGAATACCACTCTTCAGCAGTAGGCCGTTTTTTCAAGAGTGGATTTGGTAGGTTTGGCATTGGGCAGGTATTTCTCTCTCTCTCTCTCTCTCTCTCTCCTAGTTTTCCACAAGATTGACAGACAATCCTGCCAGGTTTGTTATCTCTAAATATTTCTTTCTCCTACAGGCAAAACCATATCTTGCAGACCAAAATGTTCTTCTGTTTTTTGTTGTGGGAGGTGTTAATTTCCTCGAGGTATGTTTCTTTATTTGTTTCCTAGCACTTTGTATAAGAGGCATCACCATATTGTAACCCAATATTATTCTCTCTGAGGAAGTGTTCATTAAAAATTGAAGTATTAATGAATCTTTTGACCTGTTATAACCTAACTTTCAATCTCTAAGTTGCATTCTTAGTCCTCTTGCAATCAAAACGAACTAACATGTGTAATATTAGTCATATTTTGCTTAAGAATTGCTAAATATTTAATTAGAAATTAGCTAAGCTCCTCTAACCAATTTTTCTTTCCGGAGAAACAATAAACTTCAAACCAAGGATAAAACAGTAATGGAACTCTTCGATCAAACGGTTCAATGAACCTTTCAATTTGATCTTAATCTCTCCTTTTTAAGTTTTGCAAGCTTCTATTGCCCTAATTATATGCTCTAGAGGTTAATCAAATTCTCTTTGTTGACAGATTCATGAAGCTATGGAAGCTATTTCAGAAAGCAATAGACCTGACATGGAATTACTTATTGGTGGTACAACTCTATTAACTCCTGATGACATGTATGACTTATTATTGGGATCTTCTAGCTACATTTGATCCCATTCAATTTAAAATGAGAAATATAATTATATCTTAGCTCAATTTCATTCTGTGAAGAATTCCTTTTTTTTGATATTTACTGGATTTAAAGCGGAGAGAATTGAGCTCATCATACCCTCTATTAATATTAATGAGATTCAGATATCTCAGCTGTTGATTGTCAGGTTGAATTGCTTGTCAAAATAGTCTTATAGTTGATTAGAGCGTGTATATTAGTTTTCTAAGAGTGCTCGTTATATATCTTTAGGCTCTTCAAAACCCTTCGCTAAGTAGATTCTTTGAGTGCTTTAGAGCTTTAATTAATTGGCATTTTTTAGCAATTTTCTCTGCTTCTTTTGGAGGAAGATTAGCTGAAATATTTGTGATGATTCTTTCATGGCAAAATGTCAAATTATGGAATTCTTTAGAGTGAAAGAACATTTCTTTTGGGGGCATTTACATGCATACCACCCAATTCCTATTTATGTACACATCTAACACCTAATTTTTTTTTTTTTTACATTTATACTACCAAAATTTTGCATATCACATCAACAATAACACTTTTTTTTTAAAACTTTTTGGGATACACCTTTTTCATTCGTAGAGCTGGTGGCATATATGCACAAATTTAAGTTTATATATTAGATATTTAGGTACATATCTTTTATGTTATAACTTGTTTGTGATGTCAGGATTATGGTGTTTTTGAGCTTTTGCTTGGTTTGCTTTCGAGGACCAGGGGGGTTTAAGATTTGTGTGAATAATAGGTAGTTAAATTTACATAAAAATATGAATAAAATCATTTTTCCTTTATTTTTTTCACATTCCTTATGGATGAGATAGATGAATAAAAAATTAATAACATTGATTCAAGTGATCTGCCTCTTTAACAAGAAATAGAAACTAAAATTCTCTTTAAATAAATCTTAAAAATACTAATTTTCTGTTAAGCCAAAAATATAAATTTCAGTTCATACTATTTTTATTTATTGAGCTTTTTTTTTTCCCCTTTCCCTTTCTCGTGTGATTTTCAAACCAAATAAAGCTTAAATGAACTAAGCTCAAGGGTTTAGCTCTGGAGATTTATGAGATTATTAAATTTAATCTCATTTTGAAAAATTTAAAACCATGTCATCGTATAAATGCCAAGTGATTGACTTGTTTGCTTTATCTTAAGTAAGAGTTTGGCCACTCCCCAATTTTGAATTATTTTATTGTGCTCTTAAGTATCTTATTATCTAGCACTTCATGTTATTTAGATAATCTTACGAGCTAGCATTTCATGTTATTTAAGGGCCAATTGCAAGTGAGTCTAGTGATAGGGTATATGTGATTCAATGAGTTTTTGGTGCATGCCTCCATATCCATACCTAGCTATTGACTATGGGTACACAACTTTTGTTGTTTACACATGACATGTAGATTGGAGAATTTCTTATAGTTGGCGCTTTTGCACATGTAACAATCTTTATATTTTTGGAGAATTTCTTATAGTTGGCGCTTTTGCACATGCAACAATCTTTATATTTAGAGAATACGATCCAACTAGATACAACGATCTATTAGATTGTGTTCTTGGACACCGTGATGCAATCATATCACATCTCAACTGAGCATGCATATTTCTAGGGTCTCACAATTTTGACTTGTATATTCATAATGATATTATGAGTGCTTTAGGACGACCCCAATATATGTTTTCAGATAGCGCTATATAATTACAACCCATCTTTGCCAAATGGGTACAAAACACCCATGCTTTAGCACATAACGTAACAGCCCCTCGTGCAACAATAAGTAACAGCTTAATTTGGGGACGTGGTGAGTTAGTAGCAATAGCAATGTTAATTTGTTATCTATCCTCATTAGGAACTGAAGATTTGATGTTTAATAATAATAATATTATTATATTTTTGGAAGAATATAATGATTGATGTAAGATACAAGAATTTCTATTTTGAGTGGGGGTTGTTAAGACATGCAATTATTATATTTAATGTAATATTTTAAATTAAGATCTATTAGTATTCCTTGACCTTCATCCCTTGATTTTAAATTCAAGTAAAAAATTTCTTTTAGGAAATTCACGTACATGCCACATAATTCTTATGCATTTACATATCTGACACGGTACATGCCACACAATTCTTATGCATTTACATATCTGACACCTAAAACTTGATATTTATATTAATAAAACATTGCTATTAAAAACCTATGCAGGAAACTGTGCAGTCTACTTTTAAAAAGTAAATGATAGTATTGTTTTTAATAGGATGCCAAATATTTGAGTATTACATATGTATGTATGTAAGTTTAGGTGTTATATATATAAATACATTAGAATTGTATGGTATGCATGCAAATGCCCAAAAAACTTTTAATTACATATCAGACCAATTATATCTTGCAATACAATGAAGGCATCCGATGGTAGATATCCATGTTCACATTCGCTGTCTTGTTCCTCATTATGTTATGTACTACAATTCTAAACTACTCAATACTAGAGTTGTGAATTTAACTTAAAATTTGCAAATTGATATGATTTGTTTGTTTGTTTTTTTTTTTGGGGTATCAAGCATGAATCTTAATAATCTGGTTACCAATCCTACTTAGTAGTGCAAGTTTGAGTTAGTAGGCCATTACAAATCATGATGATTCATACGTAAATAGTGGCTATTATATAATTATATAAAGTTATATTCATCTATAAATTTATAGCTTTATTTATGAATTTATGCAATTATATTTTATCCATGTGCATATGCATGTGTCTAGATGTATGTGAATGTTCGACTGATTTCTGAAGCTCCAACATCTATAAAAAAAAAATTGAATTGTTTTTCTTGCATGGATTGAATTAAACAAACCACATCAAGCTCAGACCAAAATCATATCATAAGATTAGTTCAAATGGATTTGAGCTGATCTCAATTCATGGGCATATTATTGACAAGTTCTCAAATTTGGACAAATTGTCTCCGTCGACCCATTCAATTGTGAATTGGTCTTCGAGTCTGGTCGTTTCAAGATCAAATTAGCTTCGGCACTGAATTGCACTAGACTAAAGTTGAACAAGGGTTGAACTGATTTTTTTATGAAACGAGCAAATCTAATATTGCTTTTTTTTTATTTTATGATCGAATCTCGACCCATTCAATTGTGAATTGGTCTTCGAGTCTGTTCGTTTCAAGATCAAATTGGCTTCGGCACTGAATTGCACGGGACTAAAGTTGAACTAGGGTTGAACTGATTTTTTATGAAACGAGCAAATCTAATATTGCTATTTTTTATTTTATAATCGAATGGTTTGAAACATAAGATTTTGATTGAAAATAGAGAAAATAATTACTATACTTTGGAGTATCCTAAATTATTCAAAGGTGAAGTATCCTAAATTATAATATTGTATATTAATCTGGTGAAAATATCATTATTGCATCAGCATAATATCATTATTACATCATTTAAATTATTATTAAAATATTTTTAATGTTTATTATATAGCGTTGAATCTTTCTTTTTTTCTAGTTCAGCATCTGATCTGATTCGATTTTTATAACCTTAATCATATCTACAACCTCATACATTGTTTCAACTTCCATATTTACAAATTAAGGGAGAGGAATAAAGTTCAATTTGATGGGGGAAAAAAAAAAAGAAAAAGAAGCTTCCGGAAGGTAGTTGACTTCCTTAATTATTTGAAAAACAAGTATTATTTATTAGTCTATTCCGCTTGTGAATATAGGTTTGGTCAACAAAAACTAAGACTCCCTTATGCAGGAATCACTAAATTCTACTAGAAAAAAGAAAGATTTTGAAATTCATCAAATTATATATTAAATCAACATATTCTAACTAAACTCAATTATCTAAACATCAGCTACTAAGTTTCACTATAGGCCTATACCCAACTAAGATAAAATTAATCTTTTGAATAAACTTTAATCATGTTGGTTGACATTAAGCCTAATTTCTTATATGTTGGTTCCTTCTTATAAAATTAAGCTTAACTACTGATACAAAGTTGACACATATTTTAAAATAGTAAATTGCCATAAAGGCCAAGCAAGCAACCAAAAATCAGCTTCAATGAGCTTAGGAAAAGATAATAAGTTGTCACTCATTGAATAGACTAAGTTTGCGTTATTGTCACCCTAATTCAATGTCAACAAGTCTTGCAAATGCTGGCTTGAATCAAGGCATGCTCTCATTGAGCTTTCTTTTGTTTCAGACAATAGTTTTATGTCTGCCAATAGATCTCTCCTCAAAGAAGGGGTTTTTATGAGGATTTTATAAAAAATTTCTAAATTTTGACTTATATACAAAAACCACATGCAATGTTGATATTGTGTGCATTTTGAGATTCATCTCGTTGGTTTATTGACTTTGTTTTCGTTGGCTCAATTTTTAGTACTCTATTGAGTGTGGACATTGCAATAGCTACTTTTACTAAACCATTTGTGGCTAAAAATTTGGTAGAGGATGTTATATTTCAAAAGGTTTGAGGACATGTATACTGACAATGTGGGCAAAATTTTTCAGCGAAATAAAAAAGCCTTCCATAAAAGGCACTTATATATATATATATATATATATATATGACTTCCTCTTCAGTGCAGTGAATTTTGACAATTTCTTTCGTCACCATCACAAATTGAAAATAATATTATAATAACAGCGACAACTCGCTCGATCAATCTCAAAATCATAAGCATATAAATTTAGTCGGTTCAATTTAATTTAACATTAACTATTAATTTTTCTCTCAATCATATGGAGTTTATACTTAGCATGTTGTTGTATCAAATCTAAATTGTATCTGCAAGGCTACCAATATTAAATGATATTTTTGATTATATCATCTCAATGGATATTGAATCATCAAGTTTTATAATACCTAATAGTGACCCCTCTAAACGGGAAATTGATCTAGGATAAATTCAACATTTTTTTTAAAAATTTTCTTTTGTGAATTTTCATGTTAATTTCACATTTCTTTTTCCTCTTTTCATGCTTTCATGCCAATTTGATATTTGTCAATGCCTTTTTTTTTCATTATTTTAATTTCTTATATTAAATAAAAATTTACCATATTTTAAACAAAATGTCAATTCAACTAGCATTTCATGTTAGATTCCCTGAAGTTTTGATTGCTT